TGGGAAACGGTGCATGGTACTGCAGCACTGACGCCATAGCTGTTACCGTACCCATCACTCCTGACCTTTGAGGTTCTTTCAGGAGATATGCCCTAATTACAGTAATTGGTAAAATTGCAATATAGATACGCATTATCTTGGAAATAGTGAATAACTACTACTCCAGTTGGGACTCCAATTAAAACCAGAGTGTATACACCCTCTGCTGGGTTGCGCAGAGGAAATCAGTGGCATTAATCATGTGCTACGCACCATCAGCGAGGTGTCAGAAACTGGCCTTTAATGGCAAGAACTCTTATTCTGTGCCTTCCTGTAGGGAGGGGTGATTGACCTTTCGGTATTAGTAGGTAGTCCTTCTGTGAAGTGAGGAAATAGAGCAGTCTTCTATTAGAGCATGGCCCTGGCAAGTTGTTAAAGCATCCGAATGGCGGTCGTAACAACCTGTGGATACATTAGGTCGTGATCTTTGAGGTTCATTCCCAGTTTATACTTCAAATGAAACTCCAATTGAGATCTGCTTTGGTTGTGATGACCTTGGAGCGCACAGTGATTCCAAAGGTGCTTGTGGTGATTTGCTTCCTAAATTCATGTATCCGTGGCTTTTGGACTCCGTCTCTGCCTGTAGGCATATCCACTCAGCGGGGTGTTCCTGCTTCCTTATGACTGTCTCAGCTGGAACAAAGACATTTTTGTCTGCAGAAATTCCTAGCAGATTAAATTCTTCTGTTCTTAGTAACTCCAGTGGAAATCTGAAGCACCTCCAGCGATGCCCCGGATTTTTATTATTTAATTATTTAGCTTCTCCTGTTTTACGATAAGATCCCCTGTAGTTATAAAAGAAATTTGGTTCGTTGAAGCAGTATGTGATAGCAGATGATGCTGTAGCTTTTCCTGTGAGATTCTCCTAGTTTCTAGTCATTAGGACCTTTAAAGTACAGGCCGTGCAGTATTGTTAATGATGACACTGCTTGTTCAGTCCACAGGAGCTAGGTAGTCTCCACCTTTCCAGTTTGTAATGTAAAAAACAACTTCAAGAGGATATGGACTAAAACAGCAGCTGCAGCCAATAGACAGGACGCCAGCTGTGAGTGAGCTGCTCTGCTGCTTGTGTCATCTGCAAATGTTACCACTGAAGCAGTATTGAATAGATTATTGATTAAAAATATTGAATACCACTAAGCCACAAAGAAATTGTAGAAGAAAACACCGTAGAAAGAAGTCTGCTTCTTGCTCTCTCTCCGATAACGACAACGCTTTAAAAACTAACTCCCTGGGAGATCTTAGAAACAGCTCATGTATGCCACATCAGTGCTGTACAGTGGAAGATTTTATAAATCAGTGTCACACAGTAGTAAATCAGATGTCTCGGGGGGAAAGCTAAAGACCTGGGATTCTGTCAGAAAAAGTCAATATGTGTCCTTGACAGGCACTGTCTTCATCAGACAGGTGACTTCTGGTTTTTTGGTAGTTTCAAAACAGTTATTCCTGTATGTCACGTGAGTGCACTATGAGACTAGCTCGAGTTGTTTTTCACATGTTCTAAATCTTCGAAGTCCTGTGTTAGAATTCCTTCATCAGAATTTCCCACTTTTCCTAGGCTCTCACATTCTTACTAGTTGTTCAGGGAGACTGTAGGCTGGATGGCATTTTGGGTTCCTAGGTCAAAAAATCCACATCTGTACATTGTCATATAGAATCATAGAATGGTTTGAGTTGAAAGGGACCTTAAAGATCATCTGGTTCCAACCCCCTGCCATGGGGAAGGACACCTCCCACCAGACCAGGTTACTCGTTATCTGAGCCTACTGATTCAAAAATAGATGGTCTGAAAAGTGGCTGCCTCATGGCATTCTCAGATACAAGCAGCCAAACCTCTGCATCGTTCACACCACCAGATGGGATGGAAAAGCTCACTTCTGGTAACTTTTTAATCTTACTATTTTCAATTTCATTGTACATCTCTAGCAGAGGACGTGTGCCTGGCTTGAGTTTTCTGGTTTTCCCCAATGAGTTTTAAAATGTCTTCTGATTTAACCCTAATTGACCACTGATCGTTTTTCAACTAGCTACCTTCTCACTATTCTTATTTTTAAACGTTATTCATTGCTATTAAATTTAACTGCCATTAACTCCTGGTTTTTACATTGATATTTTTAGAGTTTGTTTCATTGCCACTAACACATCTGCTTTTAACTAGCATGGCTTTTTGCCCGGTATAATTTTTATTTCATGTTTGTGGATTCATGGCTGTTTGGACATCTAGTAAGATGTTCTTGTACAACTATCATTTTTGGTTAATATTTCTCCCTTTGACATTCCCAGGCAGTTATTCTGACAATTGCTTTAAACTTGGGAAAATTATCCCTTTGACGGTTCCAAACGTATGTATCATTGGCTGATGCTATATTCTGTTCTCACGGGGTAAATATAACCACAGCGTGATCACTGGTACTTAGCCAGCAGCGGATTTTTAGGCTAGCAATTAACTTGTCTTTATCAGCAGAATGCGGCCCAATATTGAATGTGGGATGCCGTGCTGGGTGCTGAACTTCCTGTGGTCAAGTTTTAAAGGACATTTTTTTGTGGTGTCTACATGAGAAATCCAGCCAGTGCTCTCCTCAGGGTGACGTAAGAACATAGAAGACGGCTGTCTAAATCTAGACTGAATTCTCTGTATTTAAGTTTCCTTTAAGTTCATCATTTTACACAGCCTGAGCAAATACCTCATACCTCAAACCGGAGAAATACCTCATACTGTTTTCTAGCAAGGCTTGGTGGTTCGCAACTGCACTTCACTTGCAGGTTGTCCTTTGAGGCCCTGTGGTTCACAGCAGTCTAGCAGATAAGTCTTTCACGCATCCCATTCTCTTTTTCACATTCTGTACTTACCGAACTAATACCAGTTTTTCTTTTTCTGGCATTCCCTTTACGCAGTCTATCCCACAATTATCAGGTAGATAGTGATGGCATAAGCTTTGCCACATCATTAGTTGCTGGCCTCCAGAATTAAGTGGCTTCATGTATCCTACACTGTGTCACCTATGAGACCTGCGTTTTCCATTCACCAAAAAAATAGTATTTTTCTGTAGTATTCTCAGTGTTGTATTACTCTCTGTGTGAGTAAAAGCCCATTCAGTGCATGACTTCTCCCTGGCAAACCTCTGATCTGATTTTTAAAAGTCAATAATAAGAGTACAAAGGGAAGTTGAGACTTGCTAAGTCTAATAAAAATACCAGCTAATAAAGTTATCACAGCCCATCTGCTTCTGGATAGCCCCTACCACGAGCAGCCTTCGGTTCATGCTGGGCTGAACTGGAGCTGCTCTGCTGGCATAACTGTAAAAAGCCCAGTTGCCTGTCCCTTCAATGGGAGGGCTCCCTACAGGTCCTCTTGGGTTATATTAAAATTTGGACCCACCAGTCTAAACCTGGCATGTAGATTTAACCCCCCGACACACACACAGATAAGGAAAAAGGGGAGTTGGGAGGTAGTGTGTCTGTAGCAGAGGACACTGGTACAGGTTTATCAAGATACAATCTTTATGCTGCGTGTTTGTCATAGTGAAAAGCAAGCTGACGTTATTTGGGTTACCTTATAGCAAAAGTGTATACGTCTTGCCTTTAACTGGATCTGATTAAAAGTAAGGGATTATGGTTTTGTCTTGATTAAATTTGTTATAAAAATCATGCAATAATGTGTTCAAATGAAACAGTATTGCTCTGTTGCTTGATTAAGGTAAGACTAATTGTGGGCATAATTTTCATCAAATTAACTGAAAATAACGGGTCGGGGAAAGAAGAAGGGAAGAGAAATCTATACCAGAATTAACATTGCTGAACAACAGCTTGTCTAGACTAGAACGTGGAATCCAAGAGGAATTGGGCCATCTTGGTTCTTAATAGGCATTCAGTGTTTTCAACATTTCTCTTTTCAGAACCAGATTTCTCTTATCTGGATGCCCTGGCTCCTTATCAACCTTTGGCGATGAAATGTGTTTACTGTCCCATTGACACAAGACTGAATTTTATTCAGGTGTCTAAATTACTCAAAGAAGTCCAGGTAATTAATTTCTGTTGCCTTTTCTTATGTTTCGTCACGCATCTGAAATAAATTGGTCGATTGTGAACAACTGTTACATTAAACAATAGCAAAGTCAAGACAATACCCAGATCCTTTTTTCCACGAGAGAGCACACAGCATTGAGCTCTCCTTTATCATCCTGCTCCAAAATGAATATGGAATGACTGTCAGTCTCTGCACAGAGTGGCTGGAACAGCCTTAAAAGATCAAAGCGCAGAGCAAATGGTGTGTACAATCCTTTCATCGTTTTTAGGTATATATAGTCATAATCACTTTTTCCTGTTTGCATAAATAAGCCTGGATGTGTCTAATACCATCTTAACGTAAAGGGTACCAAGTGCTGAGTGTCCGCGGAGTCCTCAGCTTTAACCATCTCCTCTACTCTTTATCCTGCGGTTGATACTTGCTTTGGTCCTGGTCACTCTCACATTTCTTCCAAATCCACTGCTTTCCTTACTCCATTTGCAAAATCCAGACTTCTTCTGTCTAGGAAGATGGCCAGAGCATTCACGGAATCCCTCCTTTCCCCCCTTGACTCTTTTTGGCTTTAGTGGCCTCTCCTTGTCCATCCAATTTGTTTTCATTGAAATTTGCTTTCTGACTCATGACATAATTAAGATAATACCATTGGGTTTTTTTTCCCTGGGTGAGCTTTTCCCTTTGTTCTATCTTCAACTTGTTGAACACAAAAATACATACTCTTCCAAACCTCTTCACAATGTCTGGATCGTTTTATCTCATTGTTGTGTGACCTCGCTTGTCGCTGCACAACTGATAGCAATTGCCACTGCCTGGTTTTTGGACAAGCATCTTCCTCCGTGTTACTACTGAAGCATAATGCTGTTTCCAAAACAGTTTGCAGAAACACTGTCTTGTCCATTGGCTTCCTTAAGTCCTGCGGTGATCCTTGTGGCAACCAGCCTGTTTGTGCTGTGTTAATACATTGCTGACAGGTCATGAAAACTCAGAGTTGCTTATAGTGGTAATGTTTTTGCTGCCTTACATAGTGATACATCTGCTTCATTCCGTGCCATTTTGCGATGGTCTCCACCACTACTGGCATTTGCTTCCAATTTAGATGACAAGGATTTGGAAGAAAAAGCTGTCTGCATTCCTCCTTATGGCAATGATTACTGTTGTAGGGCAGTGCACAAAATCAACCCAACATTTTTGTAAGTCACCACGCTCTTCTTTTCCAGCCTCTCCACGTCGTTTGCCCAGAGCAGTACACTCAGCCACCACCCACCCAGTCTCATCGCACAGATCTGATGATAGATTGCCAGCCACCACCAATGTCCTACCGCAGAGCAGAGGTGCTCACTCTTCCCTACAAGAGGCGCTATGAGAAGATCGAAATCATGCCAGAAGTGAGTAACAAAAGTGGGGAAAAAGGGGGTGGCTTCTTGCTCATATAGCCAAATTCAAGCTACTGCTTCAGTAGTCCCTTTGACTAAAGATATCTCGTGGCTGTGATTTACTGTTGACTATGATCATGTAAAGCACTTTCTATCAAATGGAGGGCTGAGAAAGAAGCGTTTCTGAGAGAGAATTTCAAAGTGTAAACTAATGGGAATTGACAAAAACATTGTGGGCAAGCAAAAAATATGTTCATGTTAATTGTCCTTTGCAAGGATATTTCACATCTCAAAACACAGACCAAGGGGCAATCTCTGCTAGCCACCTGTGAGGCAAGCCAGTCACCTCCAGTTTAATATGAGTAAGTTGACGCACTGAAGGTTGAATTAGTGGCCCAGGACCATGGAAAGAATCCAAAGAATCTGGGAGTTAGTAGCCAGAAGTTGTCTTTCTCCTCCCCTAGCTGTACCTCCCTGAGAAATACCCTTTCCCTGGAGGAGCAGTATTCAGTCGTATGTTAAAGGCGGAGCAGTGAAATCGCTCATTTGTATTCCAACAGTTCCAATAAATGGTTAATTCCTACAGACTGCTGAAGTCCAGCAGGTTAATGGTTTGCTTGTAGCCATCTATAATGTGGACTACTTAAGCCCGCAACATCTATTAATAATTTATTAACCCCATAAATCAAATATAAATGTACCCATAATACAAAGGGTGACCCATATTCTAACAGACATGATCTTAAAAATTTTTTTTGACAATCCAATCAGCCCAAATGTGTCCTTGGATCAAAGGTGACAGTGGCTTTTTTATAAGCAGGCGTTCCTGCCCTTTGGAAACCGTTGAACATGTGAGTCTACTTCTCATCAGAGAGTAGAGGGAGGAAGTACCTTTAGTTAAGCCAAACATGAAGTACAGAAGTGGTACCCATGTAACAAAATCCCCCAACCAGTCCATAACACCCATTCCTACCATTTTGCCTGTGTCTGCTTTGTGCATCAGTTTTGTTAGGAGCCTGCCCAGCCCGCTGATTAGAGGTCTGCCAGAGTCAAAGAGGGATTTTTTAATTAGAAAATATACTTGGATGCAACTCCATCGTGGCATGTATATTTAATTATTTTGGAAAGTTCCATATTTATTGGATCCTGTTAAACATAAGAGTAGTAAAACGTGGCTTCCATTCACCAGCATGACCAAAACAAAGCTTACATTCTGAGGGCAGAGAGCCAGCACGTGGCTTACCTACTATTCCGCTGAAGCGTTGGGTTTTTCCCCTAAACTTGTAAGTGTGTAAGAGAGCCTTCATAATGTGAGCCTATCCTTTGTCTCAGCTCCGTCAAGAGGGTGGATACCAGCATTCCCTGCAAACAGAATGCACATTAGCACAGATATTCACCGACCCTCAGGCATTTTGAAGTTCCTGTCCAGGGGGAAGGTTGTCTAAAAGCTAGGCTGGTCCACGGGAGGCGCAGGTTCAGTTTCTTGCTCTGTCAGCGTCTTCCTGTGTGATCAGCACAAGTCTAAAACACAAAATGCAGCTCACATTGGAAAGGAGACCGAGGACCGCAGAGTTCTCTGGCAGAGCTTATTAGTCCGAAAGCAGTGCCGTGCTCATGGGGCTAGACCGCATCAGAAAGCAAGTCAGTGTTCCTCTTGTTAGCTTGGCTGTTGGCAGCAAGATCCCTTACACTTGAGGCTCAAGAGGCCGTGTGGATTCAGTCTCATTGGCAGCCACTAATGTGAAAATGCTCTCCGTTTCTCAAACCCAGCTCTCCAGTGGTTTTTAGGTGCTGTCTGTCACTGAAGCGAAGGGATTGTTCCTATACCCCTAAGTAAAAACAGTGCTTAGAAATCAGAGCGCTTCCCAAAACTGCTGGGATGTTGGAGGGAGGATGCACTGTAGACAACCTGGGAATGGATATCAAAGAAGCACGTAGAAAATGAGAACTGGTTTCTATTGCATTCGCTTAACTTGGAGAGTTCGAGCAGAAAGCTTCACAGACGGGAATGCTGACAGAAATGGCCCTAACAAATAGCATCAAATTATATTCACGCAGGAGTCCTAATTTCAAAGCTATCTGTGCTCAGGGAGTAGAAACATCTCATGTGATTTTCCGTGTCCAGGTATTCTCCCTGGTTCCAAAGCTGTGCTTACCAACTTGTTGCAAAAAGCTGCTTGGTACGGAATGACGCTCCTGAAAAGTCTTTTTAATATGATACAAAAATTAGGTAGACCAGATAATCTCTGAGATTCTCAGGCAAGCTGTTGCCCGTCCCCATTGGTGTCAGGGAGGTAGTGCTTGCTTTCCCCAGGGGGTTCTTAGAGAGTTAGACCCGTCAGTGGTTGTGTGCTTGCCTCTGAGAGCAAGGCTGTGATTCAGGGCTGTTAATAGGATGCCATTCCCCAGCACTGAGATACCCAAATCATCCTCAAAAAGAGATCTTGCTCATTCTTTTTAAGGGAACCTGCAACGACAACTTTGTAGTGATCACAGACTGTCTCCCCAGGACAATCTCGATTTCAGTATGTCTTCATCGCATCACCATGGTTTTACTTCCAGCTTGACCTGCAGAGTGGTGAGAAAGCGTGGGAGGGACGCTACATTTTCTCCCACCCTCTGTGACTTTGGTCTTTTAGTCTTAGCAGCGTACCTGATAACTGCTGAGAAGCATAACTGTGTAATGACTCCTACTCTGTGTAACCAGTTACAACAGTCATCATAGAATCATAGAATGGTTTAGGTTGGAAAGGCCCTTGAAGATCATCGAGTTCCAGCCCCCCTGCCATGGGCAGCGACACCTCCCACCAGCCCAGGTTGCCCAAGGCCACCTCCAGCCTGGCCTTGAACACCTCCAGGGATGGGGCCTCAACAGCTTCTCTGGGCAACCTGTGCCAGTGCCTCACCACCCTCACAGGGAAAAACTTCTGCCTCGTGTTTAATCTAAACCTGCCCTCTTCCAGTTTAGAGCCATTCCCCCTCGTCCTGTCACTCCATGCCCCAGTAAAAAGTCCCTCCCCAGCTCTCCTGGAGCCCCTTTAGGCACTGGAAGGCGGCAATAAGATCTCCCCGGAGCCTTCTCTTCTCCAGGCTGAACAGCCCCGACTCTCTCAGCCTCTCAGTCAGTCCCAAAGAATCATTGTTTGGTTTTCAGATAAATGGGAGAAGGAGGAAAAGAGTGTCTTTTTCTGTGGCCTGTATTTCCTTTGGTGCTAACCCCCTAACTAAGCACCTTACCTCCCTAGTAATTTTATGTGCCATCTGCACGGCTTGCCTCATTCCCCCTGCCTGCAGAAGAGCCCTGTCTGCCTGTCCCATTGTGCAGATGTTGGTTTTGGAAGGCTGATGCGGATGGCCTGGTGGTCACAGGCAGGGTTTGCACAGTGGTGGCAAAATATGGCCATAACTTCCCCTTCTGCTGGTTGGGTTGCCCAAGACAGGATTGCAAGTATGATAGATGAGGCTCCCTGGTGGGAAGTATTTGCTGCTTAATGTCCCCTTTTCCGTAGTTTCATCCAGGAAGACTCGTTAATGGTGCCTGAATATATAGAAATTTCTATACTGCGAGGAAAGGGCATTTGTTTCACATGGGCTACTGCCGGCTCTGGGGTTCTGTGAAGGCTCAAGTGGCAATTGGAAAGGGTATTTTATAGCTCCTAGCAAACCTTGCGAAGGCTTGTTATTTGTCGAAACCATGTTAGTCAAATATGGAATGATGAAATCCACCCTGGAAAAAAAAGTAATTGGTAGATCTGCTCCAGGGCTAGGACTTGCGTCTAAACTACGGCTAAAAGTCTCCTAAAAGAATGTCTGCTTCAATGAAGTCCTGATCGGGACCCTCTCCTAACATCCCCAGCCCTTTCTCAGAATTGCACGTGTGCTCAAACATCTATCTGGATTCTTAAAGCTTTTGAAAACCAAACAGTTGGCTCCGCGTGGTTTCAGTCAGTGCAGACTGATGGTGTGGTAGTGTGAAATTTCCTTTCCAAAACTGTTTCAGTGGTTCAGATTCTGGCCTGTCACACTAACATAAATTTACTGATGCTGCTGGAGCTTGTCTACATTTCAATCACTTCACCGAAGAGCAAAGTCAGGTCAAGCAGGACTGTTGTATGTTAATGAGATTTGCACTCAGAGCAGCCTTTGTTTAGAGAGAGTCTTTAACAGTCCCAAGGCACCAGGCTGGAATGGCTCTCACAGGTATTGTGGAAACCTTTACACTTTAACTAATGTGTTCTTCTCAGCATCTGCCTTTCACTTTAAAAAATAATAAAAAAAAAGACTGCTTCCTGGAAATTGGTTAGGCATTGTCTATTCACAGGAGAATGATGGGAACTTCTGGAGCAAACAGATAAATTAAACAGTAGTGTTTGAGCAAATAATGTTCCTCCAGTTTAATTACAGCTGAACAATGGTGCAGATCACTTGATTTCAGCAGCAGACTGACTTCGGTGAGGACTCTGTGTTTTTAAAATACTCTATTTGCAAGTTCTTCAGGACGTAGACCAGTACAGGAGAATGTGAATGTGCAATGCACAGCCTGACATGAAGTGAAATTATAAGGAATTATTGCAGAGAAGAGTTAGGAAAACAGCCATTTAGCAGCCCGTTATAATTATGTAGCTTTCACTCTACCCTCCCCTTTTCTTATTTTGACTTCTCTTTCCACGTAGGATCTTGCCAATTCCTTTTTGAGAGAAAAAAAGGCAAAACGTGGCTTTCATCTTACCTCTCCAACTTCCTTTCATTTTTCAGGGATTAAAGAGTTTGAGTTCTGTGTTTCTTCTAACCCCCGCCTTACTTTGGTGACCCCACATTATCCAATCTCCTGACCCTGACTATTCCCCCTTGTATAGAGATGCCGTAACCTCACTTACCATAGAGTAAATGAAATATAACCGTCCGGCGCGCTTCTGCTCCTATCATTCCTCCCTTCAGCTCCAAACTCACTGAATCCACCATCTGTAAAATTGCCTGGAGTCCCTCCCTCGTTCTAGCACAAGCCCTCTCCC